TCTCTCCCGAATCGGCGAGTTCTTGGATCTTATGGACGAGAATTAACCGGGGGAGTTTTCGACGTCGTGTCGTTCGATATCCAAGTTTCGCTTGGAAAAATGATGGAAAAAGGGGGATCGAAAGGAAGAAAGAAGAGATCCAACCAATTTCTCCATTCCCCTCCCCTCCGAGCTTCGAGAAAAATTGACCCGTTGTCGCGCTGGCACGCAGCAACGACAACGAAAAAGAAAAACCCGTAATAAAAATATCGGTCGATCGCCTTGGCAAGCGTTTTCCCCGAAGGAAACGCTTATTGATCCAGGGATCGGGATGCGTCGCGATTTCCTCCGACGGTTTTTACGCCGTCGCGCGGAAATAAAAATCTCGGTCGATCGAGATTAATTTCCCGCTGTGGAATCGTGCGTTTCGACGAGAGAAGGGCGACGATCTCGTGTTTTTCGCTTGTTCGCGTGACTCTCGGTCCACGGAAGCGTACCTGGTAGCGGAAATAATTACCCTTATTTATCTTACAGTTACTCGAACTGTTACCCGCCGCTTCCCTAAAGCAACTTCTCGAACGAAATTTCGCGGAAAATTACGATGGATGGTGGAGAGGAGGAGAAGAGCTTTCTAATTTTCCGTTAAAATTCGATCCAGAAAAAGAAAGAAAAAAAGAAGAAGAAAAGAAAATGGTTACCTTATCGAGTTTAATGCGTCCATTTCGCACTATATATATATACGTATACGTATCGGTATATCAGGTTGGGTAATCGGTAACACAAAAGCGGTGCAAAGCGGGGGCCGAGTAAACCGATCGCCAACTGTTGCGACATCTCCGCGCCTCGCAGCGCTAGAGCATAAATTATTCATGCTCGTAAAAATATCATGGCTCGCGCGATTCCTCGCGAAACACGTGCGGCAATAACGAGCCGGACGCCGTAATATATTTCCGCCGAAATATCCTCGGCTCGGTTTCGGCCACGAGCACGGGAAATTCGATTGGACGGGGGATATCGGACGGGGGAAAAGGCGAGAGATTTCTTCGCTGCTTGCTCTCCGGGTAAAAATTCGAATTCGTTGCGTGCATTCGTTCGGTGCATGCGTCGAGGCTGCATAGCCAGGCCGGCGGAGCTGGCAAGGCAGGCCGATGCAGGCG